ATCCCTTAGAAGAAATGGAGTAGCCATCATGGTCAACAAAAGAGTCCAAAATGCAGTACTTGGCTGCAATCTCAAAAACGACAGAATGATCTCTGTTTGTTTCCAAGGCAAACCATTCAATATCATGGTAATCCAAGCCTATGCCCCGACCCGTAACACTGAAGAAGCTGAAGTTGAACGGTTCTATGAAGACCTACAAGACCTTTTAGAACTAACACCCAAAAGAGATGTCCTTTTCATTATAGGGGACTGGAATGCAAAAGTAGGAAGTCAAGAAACACCTGGAGTAACAGGCAAATGTGGCCTTGGAGTACGGAATAAAGCAGGACAAAGGCTAATAGAGTTTTGCCAAGAGAACGCACTGGTCATAGCAAACATCCTCTTCCAACAACACAAGAGAAGACTCTACACATGGACATCACCAGATGGTCAACACCAAAATCAGATTGATTATATTCTGTGCAGACAAAGATGGAGAAGCTCTATTACAGTCAGTAAAAACAAGACCAGGAGCTGACTGGGGCTCAGATCATGAACTCCTTATTGCTAAATTCAGACTTAAACTGAAGAAAGTAGGGAAAACCACTAGACCATTCAGGTATGACCTAAATCAAATCCCTTATGACTATACAGTGGAAGTGAGAAACAGATTTAAGGGACTAGATCTGACAGACAGAGAGCCTGATGAACTATGGACGGAGTTTCGTGACATTGTACAGGAGACAGGGATCAAGACTATCCCCATGGAAAAGAAATGCAAAAAGGCAAAATGGTTGTCTGAGGAGGCCTTACAAATAGCTGTGAAAAGAAGAGAAGCGAAAAGCAAAGGAGAAAGGGAACGATATTCCCATTTAAATGCAGAGTTCCAAAGAAGAGAAAGGAGAGATAAAGCCTTCCTCAGTGATTAATGCAAAGAAATGGAGGAAAACAACAGAATGGGAAAGACTAGAGATCTCTTCAAGAAAATTCAAGATACCAAGGGAACACTTCATGCAAAGTACCACCAAGAGGCACCTAAAAAATATGGGTGTCAATCTTCCTTGCCTGCATGTATGACAGTCTCCCAGTCTCCTCCTGATGCCAGGAGACATCCCCTTCTGGCCTGTTGGCCCCTTGGCACAAGGAACCCAGAGGGCCCAGCTGTCAACTATGGTTACAGGACTCAAGCCGTGTCCTCTGGTGGAAGGACCAGAGGGAATCAGGGCCATTAAACCTCTAGAACCTAGACATGCAAGGAGAGGAAGAGAAGTTCTCCAAGCAGGTAACCGGGGGTGATGGTAATCAGGGCCAGTCCTGCCTCCACTCCTAATTCCCAGAATTCTGTATTCTGCCCGCTGAGGATGCCACACCATAAAACATCCATTAACACCAAGTAGACACTGCACCCTGGGTAGGGACCCGCACCTCTTTATGAGGTATGGTCTCAAACTGCTGCCTCAGCTGTGTCGTGAGTGTAGCGTTGTGCTGTGTGCAGAGCCGGGCCCTGCTGTTGTGAGTGTGGCGCTGCGGCGTGTGCATAGCCGGGCTCTGCTGTTGTGAGTGTGGCGCTGCGGCATGTGAGGAGCCGGGCCCTGCTGTTGTGAGTGTGGCACTGTGGCGTGTGAGGAGCCGGGCCCTGCTGTTGTGAATGTGGCGCTGCGGCGTGTGAGGAGCCGGGCCCTGCTGTTGTGAGTGTGGCGCTGTGGCGTGTGTGGATCTGGGCTCTGCTGGTGCAGTACATGGTAGGAACAGAGCATCTCACAGTGTTGTGCCCACTTCTGCATTTTGGTGTGTCCATGTGGCATTCACCTGCGGGACCAAGTTGCTCCCAGCATCCCTGCAGTGAAGCCTGTGAGCACTTCCCCTGTATCTGGAGCCATGATAGTTTTAACACCTAGAAGACTCACCTTTGTGAGGTGAGAGCTGGGACTAAGTTGCTTTCAGGACACATTTCGAAGTCAGTTCTTCCTTTAACCTGGGGCAGAGTTGTAACCGGGAAGGGGCAACCCTTTCAGGACTACCACAAGCTTCAGAATATTATAAAGAAGCCAAAAAAAAAAAAAAATTTCCATGACTGGAATTTCTGGATCAGTGTAGACCTCCAGGGCTAGGGTTCCAGATACCACAGGCTTATACTATTAAAGTTTATGGAAGGTTTTGGGCCTCCATTGATATTCATTCTGTTTTATTCCAATCTCAAATTACAAGTTAAAGAAAACAAAAGGAGAAATCACATCCTTTAAACTCATTTATTAATTATGTGCATTTGCCAATTGGATGAAAAACAAGATGCCAACCTCTTGCCAAAAGCCAAGTGGAACTGAGGTTAAGTTATATACTTACCCAAAGAAAACTTCATATAAATATAGTTAATATTTTACATCTAGAACTATCTATCTATATGTGTGCTCAGTTGCTCAGTCATGTCTGACTCTTTGCTGCCATATGGACTGTAGCCCACCAGGCTCCTCTGTCCATGGAATTTTCCAGATAAGAATACTGGAATGGGTTGCCATTTCCTACTCCAGGGTATCTGCCTGACTCAGGGATCAAACCCACATCTCTTGTTTCTCTTGCATTGGCAGGTGGATTCTTTACCACTGAACCAACAGGGAAGCCCATCTATCTGTATATCTGTGTACATTTATATGTACTGATATATATAAGGACATATCAGATGTCACCTGATTTCCAGATAGTGAACCTTGCAATATTTCATTACAAATACATTCTTCAAAAGCATAATTTTTCACTTTATGACTAGGACCAATCTATCCAAAATACACTTTTGATAAGAATATGAGATATGTGGGAAAGACAAGGAAGAAGAATCTAGGAAAACCACTAATGCCGAAATCGAACTGAAAATGCAAGGACCTGCCAAGGTCATGCAAAGGGCGTGCTGTGTGTACCTGGCCGCTGATGTGGTCAGCCAGGCTCCACGAAGCTCTCAGCTCAACTGCAAAGACCAGTATAGGATTTTCTCACCCACCCTTCTTTCTACTTTGGTTTCTGCGTGAATTTAAGTAAATACATTCTTCCTCTGGAGGGGTGCGTCCACCTTCTGGTGTGGGTCTGGTTACTGGCTTCAGAGAGGAACCAGACTATTGAACTTGGCCACGAGAACCGCGGTTTAGGACGCCCGTGAGCCACAGTCCTGTTTGCACAGGGAGAGGAGCTGGCTGCAGGGATCAGGGAGCTGCTTCTGCTGCTGCATTTCAATGAGCAGACTCGATCAACAGCACCAGGACATGGGAAGCCCCAGCAGGCTCCATCCCCCTCTGGGATGAGGCCAGTCTGGGGACTTGAGCCTGACACAGAACTTTTACATCTAATATTAAAGACACCCAAGCAACAGCACATCCCCAGGAGGCTCTTTCTCTGAAGAGTCAGCGTCAAGGTTGTGCGGCCTTCTCTTTCCTGACCTATTGTCTGAGACCACGCAGATATAAAAGGCATCTTCTTTTGAAGAGAGTTAAGGAAACAATGCATAATAGTTGCTACTTAGCTCCGGGAGTTGGTGATGGACAGGGAGGCCTGCTGTGCTGTCGTTCATGGGGTCGCAAAGAGTCGGACAGGACTGAGCGACTGAACTGAACTGAACTGAAACATCTTACTAACATAATTAGCAAACAGATGCAAGCAAAAGGTTATAAATTGAGTGAGTAAATTTAGAATTTCATTTTGTCCTTAGCTTTCCCTTTCTCAAACCTTGAGAGCCAGAGTAAATCAACTCCACACTCTGGAGGTGGGACAGGGGAGTCTTGAGTACAGTCACCAGGTGAGCAAGATTCAAGGATACTGGTGAGACCCCAGTGTGTTTCTGGTTTTATCCGGTTGTGCTTTGGTGGGAAAACATTTCACAGCAGTAACTCTGTCAATATTACTCCTCGTAGGGTGTCTCTGATTCCTCTCGTCTTATTTCACTGACAAAAATCATGTTTTTAATCTGCTTTGCATCACTGAGCCAACTGAGAAAATAGGTCCTGTTCCTCGTGAATTATTGAAGCTTGTTGTCAGCAACTATAAACCCCGGAGGCAGATGACAGCCCCAGAAGCTGAGAAAAGACAGCCCAATCTGTGGAGCCCAGTGGGGGCGGGGGGGGGGGGGGAGGGAGAAAGAAAATCACTCTTGAATGGAAAATTGAAGAAACTCCTGTTTGGGTTTAGAATATGGGTGTGAGGGAGCTCTTCACAAACAACCCAAATCAAAACTGATGAAAAAGTCTTCTTGGATGAAGTTTTATGCTATTTCTCTTGTACTTCTTTCCTTAACATCTTACTTGGTTGGGATCAGAATCGATCAAAGTGATTTAAATGATAAGTTTCAGAGGTAAAGCTTGTGGGCACTTAGCATAGATATTGATTCCAAAAAGTTAGTGTGTAAAATAAAACAAGTCTGTTTATCACCAGATGGAACTAAAATGAAGAACACCGAGTATTTTCCTGGGCTTCCTGTGTGTCCTGTTCTCCCTGTTGTCAGTTTTAATTCACGATCTATGCATTCAGTGAGTACCTGCTGAAGTCTCTCAGTAACTTCCTCTCTGTTCTTTTTAACACTTACTTGGCCACGCTGGGTCTCAGTCGCCGCGCAGGGTCCCCGTTGCAGTGTGTGGGCTTCTCTCTCGTTGTGGTGCTGGAGGCCTAGTCCCAAGCCATGTGGGGTCTTCGTTCCCAGACCAGGGGTCGAACACATGTCCCCTGCATTGGAAGGCAGGTTCTTAACCACTGGACCACGAGGGAAGTCCCTCTCTGCTCAGTCTTGGGTAGGGAGGCGCCTTCCCCTGTCCGAGTCCCAGGGGCCTGCATCTGTCTGACCCTAAGAGTGAATGCCCCCTTAAGTGTGACACCCTTGGCACCTCACTCGCCCACCCGAGTCTAAGCCCTGCCTCCATAAAGTTCACTTGGTGAATGTTATGACTCCAGAGACATCTTGGGTATAAAGATCTTGTCTCTTCTCTGTCTCCTCATAGTGGAAAGCTAGTAAAAATGTAAACAGCTCACCCTGACTCCAAGGTTAATCATACCCCCAAGCCCAGCTGTAGTGGCTGCTTTCCAAAGGAGCTGCCCACACTGGGGTAAGGAAGCGCCATCGCACCAGGGGAGGTCACGAGGGCACTTGCTGAATGCTGACACTGGACATTCTTGCTCAGTGTTGATCGCTTCTTTGGGTCCTGCCTTGTGCTTTGGCTCTGAGCTTTGCTAACTGTGACTTTTGGCTCTGGTCCCTTTTGGGCTCCTGCCCGCTGGTAGCAGGCCTTGCGGCTCTGACCATCAGCTGTGTCCTTGCTCTGGCTTCTTGCCTCCGTTCCCTTTAGGTCTCCTGCTCTCTTCTCCACAGCCCTGGGCTGAGGTCCTAAGGCCATGTCACGGTCCTCGGTTGGATCACTGACAGTGTGTCCTGGAAAGGAGAAGGGAGACCAGAAACATTTGTTTTCTATTATTCTTCATGAAAAACAGGCTAAAAAAAAATAGATTCTGCCCTTCTTTACTACATAGGTGTGTTATAAAGATTAACATCCGTGAAGCCTGTGTGGATTAATGTAAAAAGCAGCCATGTAGAAGATTGCCAAGCTATTGCCTTGGCAACATCCCCACGTTAGGAACAGATCTAAAACACAAGCTGTCATTGTAAAGTAAGGAGGCTGTTTTTTTCTCCTACCAAATGCATCAAACTGTTTACTTCTAGGTGACTCTTGTCCCTTTCAAATTAGTCATTATGGGGAAATGATCACTTATTTCAGCAGTTAATGCCCACTCAAAAAATTTTTTTTGCTCAACTTTCGGTATTTCCTTTAAGGACAGAGGCTTTTTTTCTTTCCCCCAAATCTCCTTAGTGGCAAAGTGTCTTTATTTTATCAAGTCTGTCCTGAATTTAAAACAACCAAATCTGGAAGGAAAGCCAGCCATGAGTCAGGGAACTATTGGAGAGAGACAGATACACAGAGAGAAATGGATTGATTCCACCTGAAACTAAAAAGAAAAAAAGACTTGACTCTACAGTAGTAAGGTGGATATGTGTCTGCAGGCATGCATGTGGCGGGTGGAATGATTGTGTATAGGAAAGTCATAGAGAATAGCCTTGGTATTTCAATTTGTGGGTAGTGACTTTACGTCCCACTGAACAAAGAATGCAAATCTAACAGGCCATGCATGCTACAGCTTCCATCCCTGTCAGGACAATTTCTCAGCTTCAGTCTTGATTAGAAGCATAATTTTTTTTTTTTTTAACAGACCATGCTGTCAGCTGGAAGGAAAAAGTCCCACAGGGCACATCACGGGAATATCTTTCCACCCAGGATTCACATAGCTTTGTCATCATATCTGATCTCTGCTGCCGCAGATAACCAGCCAACAGAACTGGACATGCAGACTTGGGAAGGCTTTCAATTGAATTTTTGAGAAAAAGGTTACTATACAGATTGGTCAGCTCCTTTTGTGCCACTGCCACTATTCTCTTGGTCCAGTATTCCTTCCCTCAGGCCTCTCTGTGCCTTTATAAAGATCAGCAATTATTTTCAGCTCCAAGCAGGATGCTGCCATGCAGGGGCTCCCCAGAGGCAATAAGTCTGGGAGAGAAGGTGGCTGATTTACAGATCAACAGCTACCTGGTAGAGACTGTGGGATACCTTGCTGTCAACACCAAAGGATTGAAGAGCATAGCTTTGTGAGCCATTAAAAAAAATCTGTAAGAAAAAAAAAAAGAAGAATCAAAATCTTTTCTACTCCTCTTGAAAAATCAAGTGGTTTCTTTCTTTCTCTTTGGTAGCTAATGCCATTTTTAGATGCGTATGAAAAAGACAGAAACATTCTTGCTTTGTGAATTCTGGTATTTTAACTCATACTGTGTATAATCTAGCCAACATTAACAATAGACTGAATTCTCTGTGTTTGCAATATTTCCTGGAACCTCAGGGGGGTCTGCCTGTCAGATGCTACTGAGGACCACTTAAGGCTAAGTCAGTACATAGGTGCTCAGCCGAATGTGCCTGCTATTGACTCCCAGCTGTACTGTTCACCTCCTCAACCTGTAATTGGCATTTCTCCCTTCCCAACTGGCCAGTACTATCAACTTGCCACATTTCAGGAACTGAAATGCCAGAGTATCCTGAGGTCCCATGTTCAGGTTTTTCTTTTTTTTTCCCTATTTTTATCCCTCTGGTAGATACTACATTATTTTAGAATGGATTAGCTGAATCTGTTTTGTCCTGTCACCTAAATTCAATGCAGCTTGACAATTACTTATGGAATCCTTGCTAAGGACAGATAAAAAATTTACAGAGGGTAAATGAAAATTGAAGACATCATTCACTATCTAATTGGGTAGATATGCAAGCACAAAAAAGCAATGTGTTAATAACACAAGGTAGAATGAGATAGGTGTCTTAGGATGCATGAAACATTGTTCCTTGACCATTGTACTGTGAAACACTGGCCATCAGGAATGGGATACTACTGATGAGGAAAAGAGTGAAACACAGAAATCAGGAAGCCGCTCTATCAAACACTTGTGCAGTAAATCCTTCGTCTATACTGGTAGTTTCTGAATGGTACTAGGTAAGTCAGTCTGTTTTCAGGGTATAAGTGTGACAAGGCTGTTATTTACTTTTTTTAATGTGTTACCTTTTAGAGCAGCTTTAGGTTTACAACAAACTTTGAAAGGAAGGTACAGAGATTTCCCCTATGTTCCTTACCTCAACAAAAAGCCCTCACACTGCAATGGAAAGTTCCTACGTGCTATATCCAAGACCCCACACAACCAAAAATAAATGAATGAGTAAATATTTTTTTAAACATTTGGAAGAAACCTCATAGGCCATCTGACCTAGCCTTCCAGGAAAGGCTGAATTCCTTCAACAGAAAACTTAATCAAAAGACACAGCAGCAACATTTCTCTAAACAGGTCCATAAGTGATTTATTCACTTCCTCATGACCCAGTAGTCAATTCTTTATTCAGACAACACTGCTCATTTTTCTTATATCAAGAGAAAGTCTGCTCCCCTGCAGTATCCCCCAGATGGCTTTATAAACCCTCCATTAGGAAAGCTCTCAGATGTGGAAACAGGTATCATGACCCATCACCTCTCTATTGCCCACCTCACCCCTCCACACCATTCTCTTCTGCAGCCCAATGCTATCAATTCCCTCAATATGTATCCCCTCAATTATTTTATTTTGTTAGAATGTAAAAATAATCAGTGACTGTAGTAGAAAATGGGTTTCCCTGGTGGCTCAGATGTTAAAGAATCTGCCTGCAATGAGGGAGACCTGGGTTTGATCCCTGGGTCGGGAAGATCCCTGGAGAAGGGAATGGCTACCCACTCCAGTATTCTTTTCTGGAGAATCCCATAGACAGAAAAGCCTCGTGGGCTACAGTCCATGGAGTTGCAAAGAGTCAGACATGACTGAGTGACTAACACTTTCATTTAATTCACTTTCCATAGTAGAAAATATACTAAAAAAGCATAGAGTAACAACTCTAGAAGCGTGTGGTCTGGTTAAAAATATATGTGATATGGACACTATAAGAGCATAAAAGAGGTACATCAGAATGAAATTGGGTGACAGTGATACTGAGCTGACTGATGATGAATGAGTCAAAGGATAAGAGGCAGATCCAGAGAAGATAATCTGAAAAAGATCTTATAATGTTCAAAGCTTGCACCACAGACCAGGGGTAGGAAAGTTCACAATATTTAGATGATGATGTTCTATTTGATAAATGCTTCGTATGAAGGGCCAGTAAAAGATGAAAACTAAAGAGATGTGTGAAAATCAGATCATGAAGGGCCTTACATGCTAAGCAAAAAAAGAAAATGTTATTTTCGTCCTAAAAGTTAAAGGAATACATAACACGTGTTTAAGAAAGGGAGCATTTTTATTACTGAAATGTCACTCCACTGAGAGGTGGAAAAATCAAAAAGAGCAACATAGGATCAGGAAGAAATCGGTTAAGCTGTTGCAGAGAGAGAAGTGATGAAAACCAAAGTGGCAGCAGGGTTGGAATGAAAGAGGAAAAGAAAAAATATATAAGAGATTAAATCACTATTACTGGTGTTTGATTGAAATATAGTGGTGAAGCTTCTGTTCAACATAGTGTGGAAAGTCTTAAAGCAGTTAGGCAAGGAAAAATAAAAAGCATCCAAATCAGAAAGGAAAAAGTAAAAGGATCTCTGTTTACAGATAATTTGCTCCTATACACAGCAAATTCTAAAGATTTCACCAAAAAAAAAAAAAATTAGAACTAATTATGAATTCAGTAAAACTGCAGGATAGAAAATCAACAGACAAAAACAAATTCCACATGGCAAAAACCACTGCAATGTTGTAATTAGCCTCCAATTAAAATAAATAATTTAAAAAACAAGTTCCATTTCTATATGTTAACTATGAAATATCCAAAAGAAAATCAAGAAAGCAATCCCATCTGCAGTAACATCAAGAGCATAAAATACTTAGAAATAAACAACCAAATAGTTGGAAAAGCTTGTACACTGAAAACTGAACTACATTGAAGAAAGAAGAAAATAAAAATACAAATAAATGGAAAACACCTCATGTTCAGACTCAATCTTGTTGAGATATCCATACTATCCAAAGCAATCTACAGGTTAAATACTATTTCTATCAAAATCCCAATGGTATCTTTTTATAGAAAAAAATCCTAAAATTCATATGAAGTCACAAAAGATCTTGAATAACCAAAGCTATTTTGATCCTGAGATCTTGAGTAAGAAGAATAAAGTGGAGGTATCCTAATTTCAAAATGTATTACAAAGCTACAGTGATTAAAATAGTATGATACTAGAAGAGCAAAACTGTCTGAATAATAAGTAGAAAAAAGTACAGAAAGGGAAAGCCACAGAATAGATGTTGGTCCAAAGGAAAGAAAAGTCTAACCATCATAAAAAAATCAAATTATTGGGTTTGCCAAAAAGTTCATCAGGTTTTTCCATAAGACTATGGAAAATTAGCCTTTTGGCCAACCCAATATATCTAAAGATGTCCAAGTAAATTAGGAACCTTCACCATAAGAACAAGTTTCCCTCATAGGAAATTAATTTTAATCAGACAATTGGCTAAGCAGTTTGGTTTTACCAAAAGAAAGGAAAAAAAATAGAAATGATCTTGGAAACTTTGGCCATTTCAACATTTTTTATAATGAGCCAAACAAATTATTTTCTAGTTAGAAGCAACTATACAAAATTCGGATGGAGAAAAATCAAGTTAGTGTCATGGAAATGCTTAAATTGATCAATTCCAGCCCTTAAAAACAGGCTGAGGAAAATTTCAAAGATAATCATGAGGTAATAACCATTATTGGCAAAGAAATAGAATGAGTGTTCCCATCTCAAATTGTTCTAA